TGTGTATCCCATTCAGCTTTATCAAGGTTCTAGGACTTGAATTTGGCCCAGCACATGATTTTATATACAGTTACATGTGAAACTCCTTTCTAGCCATGAGTGTAACTTCTCCATTAGCACCCTGTACGCAAGAACCTGCTAAGCCCAGGGAAAGGCCAGACAAAAAAGGAGCCAGTGATAGAACAACATGATGATGTGATGACTGTGTTCAGACTTACTTCCATGAGCACTTTCTCTATCCCCTGTTAGAACCAAGGTGCAGGCCTGGTCCATTAAGTGGGGCTGCACTAGAGATATGGCCTAGGTACACATTTAGTTCCCTTTGTAATCAGATGTGCATTGTGGTTTCCATGTTCAGATCTCATTCCCAAGCTCATGGCCAATTTGTATCAGGACTGTAGTGCACAGGGGGAGAAGATGCTTAAACCTATTCCCAATTCCATTTTCCTAACCTGAAATACGCAGGAGGGCACTATTTTCCATACTAGCACAGTGTAGTGGTTAGGCCACCAAATGAGAAGGGAGCACTCACTGGAGAAGACCCTGATTCTGGGAAAGATTGAAGGTCAAACTTCTACAATCTATGTCACTTTGCAACGCTCAAGCTCATTGCCATTACATCAGCATTTTGCAACTCTGAACTTTATGCCCTCTCAGTCAGGAATTAAGCACCTTCCACATTGATAGGGTCCTCTTATACAGACCCAAAGGTAAATGCCATCTTACACAGGTCACAACAGCTGGTCCTGCCTTCCTTTTGCCCCAATCTACAGCACCTGAGGGAGAAGGAACAGTGTAAGCCAGATATCCACAGGGTGTGTTACATATATCTCAATCTCATGACTGAATTCAGGAGATCCAACTCTGTTTCCACCCACCCACAATGGGTACTAGGGTCTCAAAAGCAATAGAGGATCTCATTGCTGTATGATGCACAGTGCATACCCATCCCTAAACAGATATTGACAAATTGTATCAGTGCACCTACATCAGCAGCATTTTGCACACAAGCTCACCTGGAAGAAATGCAAGGGTGACACCATATACATCAATGTTCTCCTTTGCTTACCATTATAAATTACCCACCTGTGCATTAGCTGATGCCTTCTTTGACTGGAGAGTACTACAGGAGGACTTCTCTGTATGAAACTACATGACAGCAATTCTAACTCCCACCCAGGAAACACATACTGCTTTTGACAATGCTGTCCTGGATTCCTTTCTCCACTGTCAGAAAATGGAGTATAGGCACTGACTATGAAGAGTCCTTCTTGGCAAGTGGACAGAGAGAACCAGACACCCAGTGGCTGTCTGCACATGCCAACCAAGGTCTTTACATTTGGGAAGCATTGATAGTTTCTTATTGTTTATGTCTTTTCCAGATTCTCTACCCTTCACCTTTCCAGTTTATGGATGTAAGTTTCTCCTTTTCACTTGCAGGATGCACTTGCCTTGTTTTTTCCTTTAAGTATGGGGAGTTCCATGTACTACTTGGCAAACCATGTCTCAAAACTGAAATTTTACTTCCCCCTAGGCTATTTAAATACCTGCCTAATTAACTTAACCCTGCTCGTAGAATGTGGGTGGAGTAACTCATCCTGGATTCCCTCCATCGATTCTCAGGAAGACTCTTTGTGATAGGTGCCAGTGTTCCATTCCCTAGGTGACAAAAAGTGGTGTGTGAAGGAGCCTTAAGAAGGCCCGTTTCCCCGTGTTTCCTGTCCAGATCAGACCCCTCCACACTTGGGAATTGAGTTCCAAGCATGGTACTTGCAGTGCACATTTGATTGCCAGGACATGAGGCAGGGAATGCAAGGAATAACATGAAGTTAGGCCCCCAGAAAAAAAATAACTGCTAGTAATTTCTCTTCTAGATTAAACATGTTCTATTGGGATATGCTTTGTTATCCTGTCCTCTGACCCCTTCCAAAGTACCAACATTTTTTGAAATTGGCAGTTGGTAATCCTAAAAATCTTGGGCTGTGATCTATTTGGGTTATTTGAAGGCTTTAGATGATAGCTCAAAGGTGGTGTTCTTCTCCTGGGACAGCAGCTTGTACAAAATAGAAAGTAAATGACCAGGAGTGATTACAGTAATCTATTCTGAATGTGGTGTGCTGCTGTATAACAATTGTGGTTTGTCCCATTTTAACATATCTTTTTTAATTTCATTCCAAGTCTTAACATAATTATTTTGAAATAGCATACAATTCTTATTTGTCAAGGTGATACCCAAGTATTTGAAATCCAAATATTTTACCTTCGTTTTAATCTTAAAATCTGCTCTTGTATTTTCATATTTTTGTTAACATCTTTGTCTTCTGTTTATTAACCTTAAACCCTGCTAATGCACCATATTATTAGTAATTTGTTTCCATTAGTAATTTGATTCCTTTTAAAGGATCTTCCGGAATCTACACCAAGTCATCTGCAAAAGTCTTAGTTTATAAGATTCTTTCTTGATCTTTACACCCCCAATCCTCTCATCTTGTCTTATGAACAAGAACAAGAATAAACAACAGAGGGGACAATGAGCAGCTTTGTCTCATTCCTTTTTGTATCTCACATGATTTAGTCAAATTGCCATTAACAATTATGTGTGCTGTCTGTCATGTATAAATCAATTTTACCCATTTTATAAAGTTCTCTCCAAAATCCATGTCCTTCAAAGCTTTAAAGAAGAAGGCCCAACTCAGGTTGTCAGAAGTCTTCCCTGCATCTAAGAAAATCAATGTGGCTTGTTTTTCATTATATTTTTCCAAATATTCTGAAATGTAATATAGTTCTAATATTCTCCTTTAACTGTCTTTTATGTAAGAATCCACACTGGTCTTCATGAATTAATTCTTGCAAAATTATTTTAAGTCTTTACGCTAATATCATTGTAAACAACTTTTAATCATTATTCAATAATGAAATTGGTCTATACATTTTTGTCAAAGTGAGATACTGTCTGTCTTTGAGTATTAATGTTACATTAACCTCTTTCCATGTCTCAGACATCTTTCCGCCCTGTAGAATAGAATTCATCATATTTTGTAAAGGTTTTAAAAGTTCATCCTCAAAGCACTTATAGTACACACCAGGAAGGCCATCTGGTCCAGGGGCCTTTCCTGATTTAATCTTTTTTATACCTTCCACAACTTTTTGAATTGTTATAGGTCCATTCATGATTTGTCTTTGCTGTTCTGTGATCCTGGGAAAATTTTGTTTTCTAATATATTCATCTATTTTCTCCAATGGAATATCATGTCCTTTGTATAAATGAGAATAGTACTAAATGTTTTTTGTATAGCCACATTGTCTGTTACGATAGTATCTCCATCTTGTAATTTCAATATCATTTTATTTTTTCTTTCTTTCCACAATTTATAAGCCAACTATTTCCCTGGTTTGTTTGCAAATTCAAAATTCCTTTGTTTTACATAATTCAATTTAATTTCCATTTTTCTTATTGTTAATATAGTGTTAAATCTGCCATTGTCAGCACAAATCTGCCATGTTCATCAGTCAATACAAGTTTTGGGTTTAATTGGGATTTAATATACAAAACAACTCCATTTCTCTTTTTTATATCAGCTGAAATAAATTCTTCACCTTGTTGTAAGAAAATGTGTCCCAACACACCCCCTCTGGTTCGTGTTCCCCTGAGTGATGCCTCCTTACCAAAGGCGGAAGGTGCAAGTTTGGAAACGCTGAGCGCTAGCCAGAGACACTCCAAGCAAAGGTCTCTCTTCTTCTATATCTTTTTTATTTAAAAGGCTCAGTATTCAAAGTTTACCTGACAAGGTGAACAACAAGACGCCGTGTCAGCTTGCCCACACAGTACACTTTTATTTCAAGAAATATAAATTGTAAACACATACAGATAAATGAACATGCAAACAAAGTAACCCACCCCAGAGCATGCAGAAGCGAAAGGGCCCCTTCGGGTTGACTTCCAATTTCCCAGAAGACTAAACCCCTCCTGATCTTTCAGAAGCCAACGAAATTCTGTAGGACTTCACCAGTATTTATACCAAATGATCAAAGGCGTTCTTTTGATGATCATATCACAGTTGTAAATTAGCATTTGGAAGTGGAAATTGCCGAACTGTAAATTGTTTCATAGAAGTTGAAATTGTAAATTAGCTTCCTCACAACAAAAGTTCACACAATCTTATTTACTGGAAGGTGCTATTGTTTTCCTGGTGTTTTCCCACCATTTGGGGCTACACTGTCCTTTGAAGCTATCAGAGGGCTCATTTCAAAGTTATCTTCTAAGGGAAAGTGGGGTCTGAAATCCTGTTGCTTCTGAGTTTAGCATTTTGGATTAGGGTCTGTCATTGCTCAAATGGCATTTCCTGACCAGCTGCAATTGTTATCACCTTTAAATTGTGGGTCACACATTTATAGAGATGTATATCAATTCAAAGCCCTGGGAATGGAATGTGGTGAATTATTTTCTGGGTGACTGATGTGGAGATTTGTCTGAAACAAAGGGCCTGAAACAGGCTAGGTCTCCTTCCTGTTGTTCCAGCAATACACAGAGACAGGCACATGGATTTCATGAGATATTAGGTTCCATTTTAAACCCAAACTTTCTATATTTCTAAAATTTCTTTCCACACACCTGAAGTTTATAAACCAAATATTTTAATTATTTTTTTCTAATATGAGTCTCTTGTAAGCAAATAATGCCTTGTTTTAATTGTTTAAAATAATGATTTCCCCCCTTCTTTTGAGGGGCATTTGCTCCATTTATATTCCATGTTAAGCATTTGTAATCCATAGTCAGAACGAAGATTTAATTTCTTTTTAGTATTTAAAAAAGTCAGTACCTGTTGCACCCAGCTCCGTATCATCATTTCCTGATGCCTGTTGCATTTTTTGTGTGGATTCTGCTGGACTTTCCATTTGGATCTGCTCCATTTGTCTCTTAATTTTTTCTAGGAACTCTCTCACCTTTTGAACAGAGTTCAACCTGAATCTCTGCTGTTTAAAAGTAAAAATCACGCCTTCCAATGAAATGGGATCTTTTTCTGTTTTAATTTTTCAGTCAGAAAGGCGTATTCTTTTCTGTTATGTAAGATTTTAATACAGATTTCTTTCAAAACAATTATATCTGTGTTGTCCATTTTCAGTCTTGTATTAAAATGCTGTTGGAGAACTTGATCCCTTTTCTTCTTCCTAGTGATGGGGCTGGATGCCATGATCTTAGTTTTTTTGATGTTGAGCTTCAAGCCCACTTTTGCGCTCTCCTCTTTTACCCTCAGCAAGAGGCTCTTTAGGTCCTCTTCACTTTCTGCCATTAGAGTGGTATCATCTGCATATCTGAGGTTGTTGATCTTTTCCCCAGCAATCTTAATTCCCGCTTGCGATTCATCCAGGCCAGCATTTCGCATGATGTACTCTGCATATATATTAAATAAGCAAGGTGACGATATACATCCTTGTCGTACTCCTTTTCCTATGCTAAACCAATCAGTTGTTCCATATCCGGTTCTAACTGTCGCTTCTCGACCCTTATACAAGTTTCTCAAGAGACATCTGAGGTGGTCTGGTACTCCCATCTCTTTAAGGCCCTGCCATAGTTTGTTGTGATCCACACAGTCAAAGGCTTTAGCATAGTCAATGAAGCAGAAGTAGATGTTTTTCTGGTACTCTCTTGCTTTCTCCATAATCCAGTGAATGTTGGCAATTTGATCTCTCGTTCCTCTACCTCTTCGAAACCCAGCTTGTACTTCTGGCAGTTCTCTATCCATGTACTGCTGAAGCCTAGCTTGTAGGATCTTGAGCATGACCTTGCTAGCGTGTGATATGAGTGCAATTGTGCAATAGTTTGAACATTCCTTGGCATTGCCCTTCTTTGGGATTGGAATGTATACTGACCTTTTCCAATCCTGTGGCCACTGTTGCGTTTTCCAAATTTGCTGGCAAATTGAGTGCAGCACTTTAACAGCATCATCTTTTAAGACTTTGAATAGCTCAGCTGGGATACCATCACCTCCACTAGCTTTGTTGTTAGCAATGCTTTCTAAGGCCCATTTAACTTCACATTCCAGGATGTCTGGCTCGAGGTCAGTGATTATACCGTCGTGGTTGTCAAGGACATCGAGGTCTTTCTTGTATAGTTCTTCTGTGTATTCTTGCTATCTTTTCCTAATCTCTTCTGCTTCTGTTAGGTCCCTACCATTTTTGTCCTTTATCATGGCCATCTTTGCACGGAACGCTTCCTTGATTTCTCCAATTTTCTTGAAGAGATCTCTAGTCCTCCCCATTCTATTGTTTTCCTCTATTACTTTGCACTGTTCATTCAGGAAGGCCTCCTTATCTCTCCTTGCTGTTCTCTGGAAATCTGCATTCAGTTGGGTAAATCTTTCCTTTTCGCCTTTGCCTTTTGCTTTCCTTCTTTCCTCTGCTATTTGTAAAGCCTCATCAGAAAGCCACTTTGCTTTCTTGCATTTCTTTTTCTTTGGGATGCTGGTGATTGCTGCCTCCTGTACAATGTCACGAACCTCCATCCATAGTTCTTCAGGCACTCTATCTATCAAATCCAGACCCTTGAATCTATTCTTCACCTCTACTGTATATTCATCTGGGATGCGATCTAGGTCAAACCTGAATGGCCGTGTGGTTTTCCCAATTTTCTTCAGTTTAAGTCTGAATTTTGCAATGAGTAGCTCATGATCTGAGCCACAGTCAGCTCCAGGTCTTGTTTTTACTGACTGGATAGAGCTTCTCCATCTTTGACTGCAAATTATATAGTCAATCTGATTTTGGTGTTGCCCATCTGTGATGTCCATGTGTAGAGTCGCCTCTTAGGTTGTTGGTAACCCCAAAATAGGTTTATCTTACCGTAAGGTAAGATCTTTGCTGTACATCTTTGCTGTAGAGGAAATCTCTTATTATCTATGAAGTGGTTATATCTGAAAGTAATTAAGAAATGTGGATGACCAGGCTTAATGTCCATATAACCTATACCATAGCTATGAACTTAGATTTATTTATTTATTTATTTCATTGGTCTTGTATCTTGCCCTTCCCACAAGCAGGCTCAGTGGAAGTTCCGTCACTGTCAATACAATATATAGATGAATATCCCATGACTGCAAGTTGCTCATCTCATGAGTGAACTGCAAAAACTTCCATTTCTGCAGTTTACTGTTGAGGAGCAGCCATTCAGGGTACAAGCACATTATCTCATGATCTCCCTTTAATCCAAGAGGATTACACTGGCCAGAGACCTTTCAGCCAGTATTCTCAATCGCAGTGTTTCTCTGCTTTTTTGGAGACATCAGCCAGCCATAGTTCCTCACTGGAAACCCGAGGAGTTGTGATATTTTGGAAGATGCTGTTGCATTGTTCAAGGCGCACTGGGGAGGGAGAAGAGGAATGGAAGCCTTGCTAAGAGACCTGTTGCTGCTGCTACCAGTTATACTTTGGAAGAAGAAATGGGAGTAGTAAGGCAGCTTAGGGAGTCATTGGAGAAAGATATGGGGAAAGGCATTTGGACACTCTTGTATTTAGTTTTTGGAAAGTAACTTGTATTGGCCAAGCCTATTCCAAATGGAACGAACAGGATTTTGTGTATCACAAATTTCCAGGGGCTAGATCAAAATGGAAAAAGGGCTGATTTGATTCATGGCCCTGAGGTTTCCCACCTCAATCATAAATGAATATAACTAAAATACACAGTGAACTAATTTTTCCTCTGAAACACAAAAAATAAGTTGTAAAAGGAAGTTATTATTTATGTTTTTCTGAATGCTAATTATGTGTTTAAACTAACATCTAGCAGTGCAGTTTTTATAATTTTCAAGAAGAAAGAACATGGCATTTAGTTTCGCCATTCCTAGAAGAAAACCCTAATGTACATTTTTTACAAGAGTTATCATCTGAAATTGACTTATTTATATGAATCATCCATTTAGATATTCTGTTTGGTGCGGTATGCCTTATCATGGCTGGACTAGCATCTTTTATGGGCGGCCTGCTGCAGGTACGTGTTTAACTCCTTGATATTCAGTTGCCTAGGGAAGTTATTTTGATTAATTTAGGGTTCCAGAAGATTAACACTGAATGTTAAGTGTTTATTTTGACACCAATATGGCACTTGGCTAGTATACACCATGACAATTCCAGTAACTTCATTGGAGTCATACACACCTTATTATCTTTTCCATGTTTTAGAATGTTTCTCAAATGTTTGTGTGTTCTTTCTGTTGGTGTTTAAAATTTACAACAGTTTTTGTGGTATGCTGCTGCTCCTTCTCCTAAATTCCCTGAAGCAAATATGGTATACTTACAGTTATAGGCAAGGCTGCTTCATTGAGAGAACAATTTGTGGGTTTCTATTTTATTCAACTGTAAGGCGGCATTGCAGGGTGACTACAGGCAAGAGCATCCATGCCCTGGGCCCTCTCTAGTAAAGCCTCTAGAACCAGAGTGGTGGTGGTCAGTTAAGGCCTTTAACCTGCTTCAGGCCTGGAGGAGACAGGAGTAGGATCACTAGCCTTCAGGTGGAGTCTGGAGATATCTTGGAATGACAGCTGATCTCAAGATATCAGAGATCAGTTTCCCTGGAGAAAATGGCTCTTTTTGAAGGGTAGACTCTATGGTATTATACTTGGCTGTGGTTGGTCCCCTCTCCAAACCCTGCTGTTCCCAGGCTTCACTCTCAAATCTCCAAGAATTTCCCAATCCAGATTTGGCAACCCTAGGCAAGAGGAAATGAGTGTGTGTTAGGAGAAGGAGAGATCCTTGAAAGGAACAGCCTGTCTGTGGCAAACCTGCACAGCCCCACCTCTGTCTTGAACAAAGGCTAACACCTAGGATATGGGATCTAATTAGAATTAGGGAACTGTTGAGATGCCCTTCTTTATGGAGGCTTCCGGGTCAGCAGTCATTTACCTACCAGGTTTCAGTGTTCTTTTATTTTAAATGTTTTTATTAAGTATGCTAATTGATGGAAACTGAAAAATTGCCCCAAACTGGATGGGAGGTCCTGTGGCAGGAAAGTATAAAGCGACAACTATGTCTCCAAGCTGGTTGGAGGAGCTACCCACTCCGAGATGCATTCTGGCTACTAAACTTTTGGGGGTAAGTCCGATGTTCCTTTTTTGTTTCTCCCTGCCTTTATTAGGGATTACTTTTTTCCTCCTTTTTGTAGGCTGCACTCAGCATTTTTGGAATAGTAGGTGGACCTCTCTTTGGATTATTCTCTTTGGGTATCCTTTTTCCTTTTGGGAATGCTAAAGTAAGTACTCATTTTGTATCCTATTGTTATGGAACAGAATGGTCGGGGGAGGTGTTCCCATGTTTTTTACTTATATAAGTTAAACAGTGTACTGTGTGAATGAGTTTGCTTTCCAAACTGGGCCCAGAATGAAATAAACTTGTGTAGAAAAGAAACCTCTCTTAAATACTTTGTGATTTATCTGCACCTGAGCAGACAATGATTCAGAAACTTCTAGAGTGAGGTTTTTGGTATGAAGACCTCTCTCTCAAGGATGCAGAACTGAATCGTGCATGCTCCAAGGGGGAGGTATCCCACCTCCCCTCCTCAGTTCCTCTTTTTCTGCCTAATCACTGGGGAACTTCTTTGAGAGCATGTTTTGCTTCTCAGGAACTAGCTTTTCCTTTAGAATACTGTAAATTTTTCTTTTGTAATTAACTTAGACAGTGGCAGTAGTTTCATGATGGGCATTTATGGTACAACCTATTACTTCCAAGAGGTGTAAATCCTGTAGAAGAAAATCCCCCTCCACAGAAAGGCACTTTGCCTCTTGTTTCTGAGTGAGGCCAATAAAGTTTATTCTTGTACATTTTGTCAACAATTTACCAAGCAGGCCAGGGCAATTGGAAGATGCATCTTTAATCTCTTCTGTTGAAGAAGGTACTGTTGGATTCCCAAGATATGTCTGAAATTGTGGGTTTACAAATATCTAAACACTACTATGCTTCATGGTCATCAAATGTGGGTGAGCTCTTGGGAAGTTACATGAGTATCAAAACTATCCTTCCCTTCACAGTCTGTAGAATCCTTAGACTCCACAGAACTGCGTTGCCAGACTGAGCCAAAACTGCAAAAATGTAGACTGAAGTTACTGATCCTGGAGAAGAATAAGAAGATGAAGAGATTGGATTTATACCCTGCTCCTCACTCAGAGTCTTAGAGTGGCTTAAAATCTCCTTTCCCTTCCCCTCCCCACAACAGACACCCTGTTAGGTAGGTGGGGCTGAGAGAGCTCTTTTGAGAACTCTTTCAAGAACAGCTCTGACAGAACTATGGCTTACCCGAGGTCATCCAGCAGCTGCAAGTGGAGGAGTAGGGAATCAAACCTGGTTCTCCCAGATTAGAGTCTGCACACTTAACCACTACACCAAGCTGAAGTATAAAGGGGAGTGCTTGAAATTGGTGATGCCATGTGGTGTGTGTAGAATTCTCCACATTGGACCTCATCTCAGAGCTACCAGAACTCTTGCTCTAGTGTCAGGCTCCTTAGTCAGGTCACAGCCCACAAGGCTGTCTTAGGAAGTTAGTGTTTATTGGTAGTCCAGTACTAAAGAACTCGTATACAGCTTGTGTCAGGAATGGCCTGTAGTATGATGGCCTCTGATTTATAGTATAATCAAACTCCCCCTGCCCCCATAAGCTGAAGCCAAAGATTATATTTCGCGCCTGTGGGCTGAAGCAAGCAAGCAAATGGCCAAAGCGCAGAAACCGTTAGCTTTCCCAACTGAGTTAATTGCAGCTGGGAACAATAACAAGGTCAAACCAGAGATAGCACACAGAAGCTGGACAGGGATGAGCTGGGAATGAGGAGGCGATGCACCCCTCCACATTCCAGATCTATGACAGGGCTACCTGACATCCTGCCCCTCCCAACGACTCCTCCCAGGTTTCTCCAGAAAGCACCGGTGGAAGCATTTAAGAAGGCGGGGGGCGGAGACAGGCTCTTCCGCCACCCATTCCTTGTGTTGCTGACCAAAATCCACCAATTCAATCAAATAATACAGTTTGTTGCGTTTCAGCTTAGAGTCCAGAATATCAGCAACTTCATTATGCGGTTCGCCTTGCACTAGCAGGGGAGGGGGGCATGGTTGTTGTGGTCTCCAGATATTTGTCCCAGGATCACGGCGGAGAAGGCTGAAATAGAAAACAGAATGCAAGTGTCTTAGATTTTTCGGCAATTCAAGTTCCACAGCCACCTCATTGATCTTACGTTTAACCTTAAACGGTCCCACAAACTTCCATCCCAATTTATGACTGGGACGTAGGCCCTTAATGTTCTTGGAAGACACATAAACAGAGTCACCTGGCTGGACATCCCAGGCGTCAGAATGTTTTTTGTCCACTTGAGCCTTGTAGGCTTGCTTGGCTGCATCCAAAGTCTTGCACAACACCGGCCAGGCCTCTTTGAGGTGTTTGCACCATTCTCCCACTTCCCCCTCTGGGAGTGGAATGTCAGAAAGGGAACAGGAGAGGCGGGGCCTCATAGCCATAAACTGCCATGAAAGGAGACACTCCAGTAGATGAATGACAAGCATTGTTGTAACAAAATTCTGCCAGAGGGAGGAGCCCCTCCCAATCGTCCTGCTGGAAATTAGTGAAACACTGTAGGTAGTGTTCGAGTGTTTGATTAACCTGCTCCGTTTGCCCATCTGTCTCGGGATGGTAAGCACTACTCAGCCCCCGCTCAATTCCCATAAGTTTCATCCGCTCCCCCCAAAACTTAGAAACAAATTGCGAGCCGCGGTCGGAGATTATCTTCCGTTGCAAAGTGTGGAGCCGAAAGATATATTGCAGAAATGCCTTAGCTAGGAGGCGGGCAGTTGGTAGTGACTTAAATGGGACAAAATGAGCCTGCTTTGAAAACAGGTCCACCCCCCCCAATCACAGTTTTCCCCTTACTGGGGGGTAAGTCACTTCCCACGGTCTACCAGGAGTGGGAAGGGGTTGCAAGAGACCTGGGGGCTTCCCTGGGCACGATTTGCACATTATACAGGTCTGGCATGACTTCACAAACAGGGAGAGATCCTTGCACATTCCAGGTCACCACAACTGTCTCTGTAACAAGTGCAAGGATTTGACAAACCCCAAATGTCCCACCAACTTCGTTCCGTGAACAGTGGCCATGATTTCACCCCGCAACGCTAAAGGCACAAACAGTTTATTTCCCCGGTACCAACACCCATTAGTTCACTCCTCCACCTCGTCTTCTTTGCTTAATTCGAGGCGGTCAGCATCAGAAAGGGCGGAGGCAAATTTCACTTCCCAGCAGGTTTCAGTGGAGGAAGGAGGCTGGGTTTTTGCTTGGCTGCGTTTTGTCACCGCCCTTCCCAATTGCGAAGGTGCGAACATAGAACACCCTCCCTCTGACTGTTATGTTGCAGGAGGCGGGACAACGCATCGGCAAGAGAGTTCGATTTCCCCAGGAAATGGTGAAGTGTGAAGTTAAACTTGGAGAAAAAATCAGCCCACCGAAGTTGTTTGGCATTCAGATTTCGGGGCGTACGCATTACCTCCAGGTTTTTATGATCGGTCCACACCTCAAATGGTACCCGCGCCCCCTCCAACCAGTGGCGCCATGTAGAGAGTGCTAATTTAATAGCCCCCGCTTTCTTGACCCAAACAGACCAATTCCATTCAGTGTCATTAAATTTGCGGGAGACATATGCAAGGGGGTGAAGTTTTCCATCCTCTCCTTCTTGCAAAATCGCCCCACCCATGGCAATGTCAGATGTATCAACCTGCACAATAAACGTTTTCAGTTCGTTGGGGTGGGCCAACGCGGGCTCGGAGGTAAACAGGGCTTTGAGGTGATCAAACCCCTCTTGACATTCATTAGTCTAGTTCAGCTTAGCCCCTGGATGAGTTCCTTTAGGTCCCTTCCCCTTGGTTCGTAGTATCTGAGGTTGTTGATCTTTTCCCCAGCAATCTTAATTCCCGCTTGTGATTCATCTAGGCTAGCATTTCGCATGATGTACTCTGCATATATATTAAATAAGCAAGGCGACAATATACAGCCTTGTCGTACTCCTTTTCCTATGCTAAACCAATCAGTTGTTCCATATCCGGTTCTAACTGTCACTTCTTGGCCCTTATACAGGTTTCTCAAGAGACATGTGAGGTGGTCTGGTACTCCCATCTCTTTAAGGACCTGCCATAGTTTGTTGTGATCCACACAGTCAAAAGCTTTAGCATAGCCAATGAAGCAGAAGTAGATGTTTTTCTGGTACTCTCTTGCTTTCTCCATAATCCAGCGAATGTTGGCAATTTGATCTCTCGTTCCTCTACCTCTTCGAAACCCAGCTTGTACTTCTGGCAGTTCTCTATCCACGTACTGTTGAAGCCTAGCTTGTAGGATCTTGTGCATGCCCTTGCTAGCGTGTGATATGAGTGCAATTGTGCAATAGTTTGAACATTCCTTGGCATTGCCCTTCTTTGGGATTGGAATGTATACTGACCTTTTCCAATCCTGTGGCCACTATTGCGTTTTCCAAATTTGCTGGCAAATTGCGTGCAGCACTTTAACAGCATCATCTTCTAAGACTTTGAATAGCTCAGCTGGAATACCATCACCTCCACTAGCTTTGTTGTTAGTAATGCTTTCTAAGGCCCATTTAACTTCACATTCCAGGATGTCTGGCTCGAGGTCAGTGATTATACCGTCGTGGTTGTCAAGGACATCGAGGTCTTTCTTGTATAGTTCTTCTGTGTATTCTTGCCATCTTTTCCTAATCTCTTCTGCTTCTGTTAGGTCCCTACCGTTTTTGTCCTTTATCATGGCCAGCTTTGCATGGAACGCTCCCTTGATTTCTCCAATTTTCTTGAAGAGATCTCTAGTCCTTCCCATTCTATTGTTTTCTTCTATTACTTTGCACTGTTCATTCAGGAAGGCCTCCTTATCTCTCCTTGCTGTTCTCTGGAAATCTGCGTTCAGTTGGGTAAATCTTTCCTTTTCGCCTTTGCCTTTCGCTTTCCTTCTTTCCTCTGCTATTTGTAAAGCCTCATCAGAAAGCCATTTTGCTTTCTTGCATTTCTTTTTCTTTGGTATGGTGGTGATTGCTGCCTCCTGTACGATGTCACGAACCTCTGTCCATAGTTCTTCAGGCACTCTATCTATCAAATCCAGACCCTTGAATCTATTCTTCACCTCTACTGTATATTCATTAGGGATGCGATCTAGGTCAAACCTGAATGGCCTCGTGGTTTTCCCAATTTTCTTCAGTTTAAGTCTGAATTTTGCAATGAGTAGCTCATGATCTGAACCACAGTCAGCTCCAGGTCTTGTTTTTACTGACTGGATAGAGCTTCTCCATCTTTGACGAAATAGTCAATCTGATTGCGGTGTTGCCCATCTGGTGATGTCCATGTGTAGAGTCGCCTCTTAGGTTGTTGGAAAAGGGTGTTCGCTATGACCAGTGTGTTCTCTTGACAAAACTCTGTTAACCTTTGCCCTGCTTCATTTTGCTTTCCAAGGCCAAACTTGTCTGTTATTCCGGTTACCTTTTGACTTCCTACTTTAGCATTCCAGTCCCCTATGACGATGAGGACATCATTTTTTGGTGTTAGTTCTAGGAGGTGTTGTAGGTATTCATAGAACTGGTCCACTTCAGCCTCTTCTGCATCAGTGGTTGGGGCATAGACTTGGATTACTGTGATGTTGAATGGTTTGCCTTGGAATCGGAAGGCTAGATAATGAAACTGAAGCTCAAATACTTTGGCCACCCAATGAGAAGGGAGCACTCACTGGAGAAGACCCTGATGCTGGGAAAGATTGAAGGTAAAAGAAGACGGGGACGGCAAAGGATGAGATGGTTGGACAGTGTCATAGATGCAACGAGCATGAAGTTGAGCAGGCTTCGGAGGGCGGCGGAGGACCAGAGGGCCTGGCGGGAGCTGGTCCATGGGGTCGCGATGAGTCGGACTCGACTGTGCAACTGAACAACAACAACAAACAGTACCATCAAGACTGGAAATACCCTGTTCTGTTGAACCGAGACTGCCATTTGTATGATGTGGCAAAGCAACAACTTTACAAAGCAATAACTTCAAACATCCATGCATGTTGCTGAATGTGAATCAAAACAGCCACAACTATTACCCTGTAACATCATGCTTGTCTCTGTTCCTGCACTCTCAGTCTTGAAGCTAAGCTTTGTATTGAGGACCTACCTTTCTTAGGAGGAAGGCTTTTCAGTTCCAAGACAGACAGTACTTTGGAGAGATTACAGAAACTATATGTGACCATCAAATCTACGGGCTTTCTATCTCTCTCCTACAAATCTTAAGGATAATGTGGATAGTCATCAGGATCAAGACAGTAAAAGCCTTTGAGGCTTTCTTCTGGTTTCTTCAGCTATGACATGCTCTTCAGGATGCAAATCTTCATGTAGCTCTTTTTAAGACTGAAACAATGGTTCTGAGGTGCAGGTGGCTTCTCTCCACTCATGAGATCCCACTTCTGACAATATCTACTGGTTTAGAAGGTGATCACCTTGGACCAATGTGTTCTCAACATCATCAGCCTGGGATATGCAATAGAAGGTACCGTACATCCCTTCCCCCCTTTTCTGTGTTCCTTCCTACCCACGTTTCCCAATTCTCCATCAAGAAATGGACTCCCTCTTTTTTAATATAAATTTTATTAAGAATTTTTAAAGTAAAAAAGAAAAAGAACAAAAAAACCCAGCATCAAATACAAAAACTTCCAATTCTCTGTACAACAGATACAAATAAATGTACGTAATACACCCTTACTCTAAAGTTATAAAGGGAAAAGCACCTCTTCTTTTCCTGTAATCTCTTTTTTTGCCTCTTAATCTTCAAAATAACAAATAATCTGTTTTGCGCAAAAAGTCTATAAGAGGTTTCCAGATAACAATAAATTTAGATAATGACTTTTCTCTAATCAAAGAAGTAAGCTCCATCTTCACCAGCCACTCCTCTATTGTAGTTTCCATTTTTGAGCATATAGTAGTTGTAGTGTCTGGCTAGGCTAGAAAGAATACTCCGTGAAGTCTCAGGCAGGAACAACACACAGTTTATTTGGCATCCACTCTTAGCACCAGTAATCAGCTACAACGCAGTAGTACCACTCAGCATACTTGAATAATAAATGCTTCACCCATTACAAGATACAGTTGTGCTGTGCTCTGTTACTCCAGAAATTGACATCATTGCTACATCAGCCGACAGCAAATGTTGCCAGTTCTGTTTCATAGTGTGGAAGGGTCTTCCTTCCTGGGAGATGCATTCCTTTTTCAGATCATGATGGCTCTTCTATGCATTGTCTTTAGTCCCTTGTCACTAAAGATCTGGGGAAGATAGAGAGGTATTGCACCGATTGGATCTTGATCACACAGTTCTGGCCATGACACCTGTGGTTCACCAGGCTTCTCTGGCTGTCCAGCAATAACTACATCACACTGTTCAGGAGAATGGACCTGTTTATTCAGCAGCAGGGCAGAATATTCCATCCATACATTTGGCTGCATGGAGGAGCCAGCCAATCAGAGTATGCTGGAAGAAAGGACATCAGTGCAAGGAAGTGCTCTACCCAAAGACTGTGTGTTAGTGGAAGCCATTGACCATTTTACTTTATGAAAGGATTTGTCTTTTGTTACTTTTATGGTTACACTGTGTATAATTTTTTTACTTTGCAGGGTGCAGTTTCAGGTCTTATTAGTGGCTTTATTGTAGGACTGTGGCTTGGAGTTGGCTCCCACTTTTACCGTCCACCTCCTCACAGAACTATGGAACTAGCCTATTCAACTGCAGGGTGTGTAGAATTCAACTTGACAACAACTACACAATTTACTACTCTTCTAACGACTCCAACACCTTCAAGGTATGAGCAACCAATGAATTGTGTGTGACTGTACCTTCTAACACCTTTTGTTGTTCAGTTGCACAGTCGAGTGACACCTAGCAGCATTTTATTTGCTTGAGTAATGTGAGTTTTCCTATCACCTTAAGAATTCATAAAGTACATTTATCAAAGTTTTTACTGTTGGGTTACTGTAGCAAGTGGATAGAAGACAGATGTTTCTGAAGGTCTGTCGGAAAAAAAGGTACTGTTGGTTTGTTTCATTTGTTGCATGTCAATATTACTGTTTTACTAAATTTACACTTTGGGAGGGTTTGAGGAATCTTTGCATTGTCATTTGGCAACAGGCTCTTCTTGCTGAAAGATGTATTTAACAAGCATAAAGGTTTTGGGAAAGCCCTGATTGTCAGCGCTCAAACTATTGCAGTGTTTTCCATAAATAAGATGACCCTGAATACAAGACAAGCCCTTCTTAAATAATACAAATACAAAAACAGATGACCCTGAATTTAAGACCACCCAGCAGCTACCAGTCTGGATGCTGTTCCTTACCTGGACCAGTGGAGGTGTCACTCTCCCTGCCTGCACACCTTCAGGCTTTTGAGCCAGAAGGTGTGAACACGGTGAGCCTACCTGCTTGCTAGGGCCTAGGGGCTGCTCCAGCCCCAGAGGTCTGACTGCCAGAGGAAGCTCTCTCTGCATGCTTTCTGTGCCAGAAGGCACAGAGGAAGCAAGCCTGCCTGCCAGGTCCTGGTGGCTGTTCCTTCCCCTCTCTCTGCAACCACTCAGGCAGCGGAGAGATTTATGGTTGCCTCTGATCAGCTGAGTCACCAGGAGTTGTGGTCCTACCAGCTGCCTGGGTCATGGAAGGGGGAGACCCCCCACTCAGTGGCACCTGTCATATACCTGAATTGAAGATAAAAATGTTTTAAAATGTCATCTTGTTTTGAGTCAATATGGTACTAATTAATGTTCCTGTTGAACTGTAATTCTTGCCTCAGCAATTGAAACTGTGAAGGTTCTTTCACTGGTGCAGTGGAGATTTGCTGTGACATCCTGTATGAGAGCCAGAGTGGTGTAGTGGTGAAGAACAGTGGACTCTAATCTGGAGAACTGGTTTTGATTTCCCACTCCTCTGCATGAAACCTGCTGGAGAACCTTGGGCTAGTCACAGTTCTCTCAGAACTCTCTCAGCACCACCAACCTCACAAGGTGCCCGCTGTGGGGAGAGGAAGGGAAGGGAGATTGTAAGCCACTTGGAGACTCCTTAATGTAGAAAAAAGCAGGGTATAAAACATTTTGTTCTTCTGTGTTCCTTCCCTTCATATCCATACTATTTTGAATGCCCTGACAGTTCGTGTTCCGTCTTCTTGTGCAGCCCCACATTGGGACTGTGCCTGCACAGGCCAGTCACAGACATTTTCTTTCTAGCTAAAAAACTTCAAAAAGGAGGTGCCCCGCCCCTTTTGGAGCCAGCACATGGCGGGATTCCCACCCAATGCACCACGTCCTCTGTGGGCAGATGCCCCTGTGACGACCTCCTATTGGGGAGGACTAGGTTTCTCTTTAAATTATACTGGGTGTTTATAAAATAGGTAGTTCCAGCTGTCACCAGGAATTTTCTAAATTCCAAATCCACTCTCAGCTTCTTATGTTGGTATTGTGACCCTGGGTCTAGGCTTTCAAGGGCCTCTATGGTCCTGAGGAATAATTGATATGACTTCTGGGATTAATTTAAATAAAAGAGGATTTATTTAAAGGGGAACAAAATAAGAGATTGGTTATTATGTAACTGGTTGGGAATAAGGTTCCTGTAAATGAGCTTGTCAACTGTATCACTTTAATACACATATACTGATCCTTCTCATATCCCACACAGATTCTTTCACCTCTCTCACTGACTGAATTTCCACTGAACAACTTCAACTGCTTTTTTTCCAGCTGTCTCTGCTAACTCTGACTTTCATATTTAACTTTCATAACTGACTGACACTCACACAGATCCACTTTAAAAACTCCTCCCACACTCTCTCATCCTCCAATCACAGCACACTTGTCTCTCTCAATCACTCTACTCTGCATTCAGTGCACCGCAACCAAACATTTAAAGAGACACACACACTCTTAAAATAAGGAATCGTTAAATATAATAATAATATCGCTAATAGTTAAATTTAAGACTTAAAAGATATTTTAGCATGTCTGACTAAGTTCAAAAAATACTAGCATTTTAAGAAAAACTTTTTACTAAAGCAGTTGTAATGATCTCCTCTCTTGGGTTTTTAGTTAGTAGTGGTTATTCTTTTCTTTCTCCTTAAATGTAGTCCCCTTTCTCTACTTTCATTGTAGTTTGTAGTTTAATTAAAAAATGCAATAAAAAAAATCCCCTCCAGGGGGCCAAAAAGCAACAACAACAAAAAACAAAACAAAACAAGGAATCATTACAGCCCCCTTCCCTCGATTCCTTTTCCAATACCATGAGGATAGGAAGCTTTCTAGCATGCTCCATTGATTATTTTGCTTCATAAGAACATAAGAGAAGCCAATGTTGGATCAAGCCAATCGCCCGTCCAGTCCAACACTCTGTCACACAGTTGCCAAAAATACCAGGTGCCATCAGGAGGTCCAGCAGTGGGGCCAGGACACTAGAAGCCCTCCCACTGTTGGCCCCCCAAACACCA